CGTTTTTCCTTAATTGCACTTTCGTCTTACTGTGGCGTGACTTTAGGCCATACACGATAAAGATGCGCTTTTGTACCACACACAACTTTATAATAATAATTTAAATCTTTATGAAATACAAACGACAGGACAATTAGTATAATATGGTTTTGGGGCATCAATCTATAGGAAGGTCGTGACTGGTGATGACGCAACAAAGGTGAAAGAGGCTTCAAAGTGGAATCAAACACCCAATTTTTACAGAACAAAAGTCTAACCTATAGTTATTTTAAAGTATTTTTTTACATTAAATCAAAATTAATATTTTGGGTTAAAGACAGCATCAGATCAAATCTAGCTTTTCCAGGAGCAGTTGCCACCTTGAGATCTGACCATTTCTTTATCAACTTGCTAAAGTCGATCTATGTATATGGACGATCCCATGCCTTATTTTAACTAAGGCTGCTTATTTTGGGAGCTTCTCATTTACTCAATCCGCTTATTTTTTGGATTAATATATTTTCGAGACGCTTCTTGGTTTTACGTAAGTTTTGAACTATAAAAAATACTTAACATTGTCGATATATGAATCAAGTTATGTTTATGAAGTTTAATATAACTATTGTAACAAAATAAAGTATATATGTATCACATGAAACGTGAGGCGATTGGCCGAGCTTTAGTAGCCGATGCAAGATCCACAGAATTTGTCTTTAATCACCTAAAATCCATGCATGCACTTTCTTATCTTATGAGACATCATATCCAGTGCCGTGCGAAGGTTAACGGGGGCTCATGGCAAATTTAGAAAAAAAGGGGCCTTTTCAATATAATTTTTTTTTTAGATGAATATAAACAACAAAAACCAAAAGAAAAATACAGCCACACCTCGAACTCGAGTTAAATACTTAATAATAACATGCCAAAATCACTGTGATACAATAAACTTTAATAAATTGGGGGCCCCTATAGTACTATATAATTTGGGGGCTCAGTGCAAATGCACTTTTAAATACATATAGAGCACGGCTCTGATCATATCTAAGTTACTATACATCTTTTTAACTTTGTATCTGTAAAGATTTTTGGTGAAAAAAGCCGTGAGGTGAGAAACGTGGAAGTGAGTTGGAAAAGAATGAATCAACCCTTTACTTTATTTCACACAAAAAAAAGGAGACATAAAAACTGTTTGTCAATGTAATGGCTGAGCTCTTTTAGGCATCACCGTGCGGATCATTCTGACCCGACCCATCCCAAAGTGGATAAGACATCAATCTAATTAGTTCTTTGTTCTTTATAGCTATATCGTAATTATCCAAGTGCGTTGGCTCAACCAGTTAGAGGGTTGATTCCAAAGGTTCTCGTAATAATACAAAGACCAAAAACTTCTAATCACAACTCCAACTCAATATTAATGTTTTTTATTTATTTCCTGAAAAATATCTAGGTGCTGCTTCAACGTTACTAGACAGGATGTGAATTATATTTGTATCGTTCGGTCTAGAGAGTTTATGGTTATGGGACAACTTAAAACATTCAAACAAAGATGATTATCCCAAATGATTGACTGAACATGTACACACAAAGTTATTTGTTCAAGGCCTCAAAGTTCAGGATTCTTACTAATTAGTACACACAAAGTTATTTGTTCAAGGCCTCAAAGTTCAAAATTCTTACTAATTAGTACACACAAAGTTACCACATTGTTGGACTAATTAACGGCCCATTATCCATTACGCTGAAGCCTTTAACCCACGTCGTTTTCTTACCTTCTTAATCTTATCACTATCTCTCAGTTTCTTCAATTTCAATTTTCAAAGATTTTTTAATTCGTCTCCATCTCCATTTTCCGATATACTTTTACTTTCATAGGTCTAATTTTTTTTCCTTAAAATAATGTAATTTTTATCATCGCGAAAAACAAATTCGAAAGTCTTTGCGCGTAGTTTCTTGTTTTTCTTTTCACTGATTGTTTCACATTTCTCTCTCGCAGCTCCACCTCTCGGGGCTTTTCTCTCGTTTTGGGGTCGGAGAAATTAGGGCTTTTTTTCTGGCTGTTCTGTTAATGGCGACGACGCAGGGGCAGCAGCAGACGGCGATTGACCCGGCGGTTCTCGATGATATAATCAGGCGGCTCACGGAGGTCCGGTTAGCTAGACCGGGGAAGCAAGTCCAGCTCTCGGAGGCTGAGATCAAACAGCTCTGCACTACCGCTAGAGATATTTTCCTTCAGCAACCCAATTTGCTTGAGCTCGAGGCACCCATCAAAATCTGCGGTATGTTTATCCAACTGAAATTCGATTCGTTGATTTAAGTTCGTCGGAATTTCATTTTAGGGTTCTTAATGTCCTCGAAAGTGTGAAATTGCGTATCAATCTCAAACTCAGGCGATATTAGTGTGTTTTGGGATTGTGTAGTTGAATGTTGACCATTGTGAAACTTCCGTTTCCATGCTTAATTAGGCCTTTGATTGTTGTTATGAAGCAATTAGAATCTGACTGAGAAATGTTTTGGCTTTTGAGTATGAAATAATGTTCTCAGATTAGAAAATATGTTACTTTCTTGGAATTTTGGTTGATTCTGAGTTTAGTGACTGTTAGCTATAAAGAAAACTCCAATCCGATTATGATTTGTGGTTTTGAATGTGTTAAACAAGGTGACATACATGGGCAATACAGTGATTTGCTGAGGCTGTTTGAGTACGGTGGCTTCCCTCCTAGTGCCAACTATCTCTTCCTTGGGGACTATGTGGACAGAGGCAAACAGAGTCTTGAAACGATATGTCTCTTGCTAGCTTACAAGATCAAGTACCCAGGGAACTTTTTTCTGCTAAGGGGAAACCACGAGTGTGCTTCTATCAATCGGATATACGGATTTTACGATGAATGCAAAAGGAGGTTCAATGTGAGAGTGTGGAAGGTGTTCACAGACTGTTTTAACTGTCTTCCTGTTGCGGCACTCATTGATGACAAGATATTGTGCATGCACGGTGGTCTTTCCCCGGAGCTCAACCATTTGGATGAGATTAGAAGCTTGCCACGTCCCACGATGATTCCTGACACCGGGCTGCTCTGTGATTTGCTCTGGTCTGATCCTGGTAAAGATGTTAAAGGGTGGGGAGCGAATGATAGAGGCGTTTCGTATACTTTTGGTGCTGATAAAGTCTCTGAGTTCTTAACGAAACATGATCTAGACCTTGTGTGCCGTGCCCATCAGGTAGATATTTTCTCGATCATCTCTCTCTATTTGAGTCTACTGCTTTCGTGATGTTGAGAATGAGTTTTGTGATTGCAGGTTGTGGAGGATGGTTATGAGTTTTTCGCTGATAGACAACTTGTGACGGTGTTTTCTGCTCCTAACTACTGTGGTGAGTTTGATAACGCTGGTGCGATGATGAGCGTGGACGAGAACCTTATGTGCTCGTTTCAGATTTTGAAGCCTGCTGAGAAGAAGACCAAATTCATGATGTCCACAAAGATTTGAGGTTAGTCAACAATCTGTCTTTAGCAAAACCAAACAATACAAGTGAGTGAAAGACTTCTTATGCAGTGATATGTTCATTTTCTTCCTTACGCAGGTGGTCTTGCTCGAGAGATTGATTCAAACTATTGAAAAGCTTTCAAGTGTGTGTTGATGCTAGTGAGAAAGGAGCAAAACCTTAGTCTTGTAGTCTCTTTTTTACCCAATTTCACTTTCTGCATTTTTTTTTTTTTTTCTATCTGCTTTTGAGGGTTTTATATGATTTTTCATCTGCCTGTTGAAAAGCAAATACAGTAGTTGGTGTGTACATGCGTATGAATCGTTTCTTGGATTTTAGGACACCAAATGAAATGATGATATTATAAAAACACAAGTTTTAGTAAGATGAGTTTTTTTGTCTCTTAAACGGCATGTGAAAGTGGAAGAGCATATAACGCATATGGTACAATCTTTAATCAACCAACATCAATTTCGAATGAGCATCTTAATTACAAGAGAACAAGTTCCACTCTTGGTCATGTGAAGTAAAAGAAGAATGTTACCTAGTGAAATGTCAACTCGTGTTTGTATGATCGAGTGAAACTGAAATGATATATGATCCATTTAATGGACACTAAGAAGGGAATATAATAATTAGAGGGAATGGAAAAAAAAAAATGGTATGTGGATGACATGCAAACACGATGCGATAAGCTTGTAAAAGTTACTTTTTGTTGCATAACGGAAGTCCATTTCACTAGAAATTAGACAACGTATTATTCATTGATCATAGAGTCCACAATTTTTTTCTACATATTATGTCATATTCGCCTAGACGTCCCAATTCCATTGTATGATTTGGTTGGAGTTGTTTGCAACACTGTTTATATACATAGATTAATTAGGCATCAATTGTTTTATACTATTGGTATAAAATAATTTTTTTTAATGATTAAATATTTTCAATTGTAATTCTTTAAATTGAAAACGTAAACGCCAAACGTAAAACGATGATTTTTATCATACATGCGTTTTGATATTTACGTTTGCAATTGTACAAATGAATTTATTGCTTAAAATTTGTGGACTCATTTGGAAAAATATACACTGATGGAAATAGAAACAATCAATCGAAGCATGGTTGTAGTGGCCGAATTGGACCTTAAAATTTTCACTGATCCAAGCATTCATATATGCAATTATGAATCAACTAAACCTTAAAATTTTCTTGGTTTTTCACTTTAACCAGTACCCTATTTGTAATTGTATAATTTCCTTACATTTTATTAAGAATCACCCCCAAAAATGCATGCAGCTTCATAATCGGAGAATAAGATTCGCTTAAATTGATTGATTAGCTTTTGCACGATTAAATGTTTTGATTTCTTTCTTCTCCTTCAATTTTCTTTTTCTATAGTCCTTTTCGCTCACAGTCTCCTTCATGAACTTTTACTATAAATAGAGACATCAAGCATCAATGTGCATTGCAACAAAACTTATGAACTATACGAGTCATATAGATTGACAAAAAGAAGAAAAAAAATTGTCCTAGTGAGTGAGTGATGGCAATAGCTTTAAAGGCTCTCCTACTTCACCTGATACTCTTCTTCTTTGCTTCTCTTGCGGAAACAAACAACCCGCGAAAGGTAAAAAAGTGTCTTTCCCTCGATATTCACAATCACAAATTCACAGTTCACACTAAATCCAAACGCTTTGTCGTGATAATATTTGGTCGTTAAGAAGATTGGTAATCGTAAGTCTTGTTTTAACTAACACTAATCAAAAACACTATCCTTTAATCCTTTTAGCAAAACAAAAAAAAGAAACTATTCCGTTGATGAGGTAATATTTTTTCTTTTTAATAATAATATTTTATTTTCTTTGGTGAGTCTTACTATATTCTCATGTGGATATAACATGTGCTGACATACACACAATATATAATGCATTTATCTGTCAAAGTTTGCATAACCAATAATGTTTGGATTTTATCATATAACTTCTTGCTTTTCTATGGCACAGATATACCTTGTGCAGATGAAAGTTGCTGGGCATCGATATGGGTCAAGTTCCGGTCACCAGGAACTACTCGGCGAAGTTCTTGACGATGATAGGTTTTAACTTTATTATTTTCTTTTTTGTCAACATTCTTTTTTCTTTTTCTTTTTTTTGTAATATTATGCTTTATTTAAAGGTCAAATTTCACAAAGAATTAATTAATCGTCTTTTATGTTATCACATGCAGCACCGTAGCGAGTGCACTCATCTACAGTTATAGGGAGAGCTTCACGGGTTTCTCGGCTAGACTCACACAAAATGAACGGCAAAAGCTCAAGAGTAAGAGCATCATTTGTTTCTCTACGTTTGCATTTGTGTTTCCATTTTAGACTTTTATTTTAATTTTTAATAATCTATCACATTGATAACTATTTTTATGTAGGGAGGAGAGAGGTCTTAGAAGTGTTACGTAGTAGAAACCTAAAGCCTCATACGACACGATCATGGGACTTCATGAATCTAACATTAGCAGCTAAGCGAAATCCCGAGGTTGAGAGTGAGTTGGTTGTGGCTGTCATCGACTCTGGCATTTGGCCTTACTCTGAGCTCTTCAGAAGCGACAGCCCTCCTCCTCCGGCTTGGCAAAATAAATGCCAAAACATAACTTGCAACAAGTACTACATTCATCATCAAATAATCTCTCTCCTTTTCTTATATTTTCATTTGGTATCTAGAACGCTTGGGCATCACACATGTCACATGATGAAACCAAAAGTAATATATAAGTGACATACCATGCTCCAATTCACTCATGCATTACTAAATTGTTTTAGATTTTAATTCCTTGAAATTTAACGTGGTATATCACAATTTTAACCAAAGTAGGATATGTTTTCGATCCTAGATTAAGATTAATTTGGTTCGAATTAGACGGGGAAAAATTATCATCTTTGAAGAGATGTGTTAGGAATCACGCATTAGAAGTGTGCATGGTAGGACATATAGTACTATAATAATATAATATTGTGATACGGACTAATCCACTAGTTGTCCATTGGTTTTGACTTTTGAGTTGAAAGCATATGAAACATATAACAATAAAAAACTTTTTTTGAACCTTTGGTCCATTCACACTCTCATGTACCTTTTAATCATCAGAAAACAATAACAGAATATTTTATATCCCCAAGATTGTTTAAGATTCTTGAATGTGTGAGAATAGGATTAATCTTACTACTGAATATTACAATCTTGCAGTAAGATTGTTGGTGCTCGATCATACTACTTAGAGAAGAAAAATTACAATCTCACAGAAGATAATTCGGTGATTGACGTGATGGGACACGGTCGAAGACATAGCCTCCATTGTTGCCGGCAGGGAAATAGAGAAGGCCAGCTACTTTGGGCTGGCGGAAGGCACAATGAGAGGTGGTGTTCCAAACGCAAAGATCGCCGTCTACAAAATATGTTGGAGAATAAGAAACAAAAAAGGTAAAGAGGTTCTTGTTTGTCCACAACATAAAGCCTTGGAGGCAATAGAGGATGCCATCAAGGACGAGGTCGACGTAATTTCGTATTCTCAGGGGTTGGATTATCCGGTTCCAATGCACAAAGATTGTGTCTCGTGGGCATTTTTAAGAGCAGTTGAGAAAGATATTTTGATTTCAACCTCCGCCGGAAACTTCGGCCCTAACTACTACGCTGTGGTTAACGGTGCACCTTGGGTAATGACCGTTGCAGCGAGCTTGAAAGATAGATTCTTTGAGACTAAGTTGGAGCTGGAAGGAGAAGATAAGCATTTACTGTAAGTGAAACAAATAGGTTTCTTGAGTTTCAAGTAATCTCCTCATGATAGGTTTCTTGACTTAGAAGTGATCTCCTAATATTTTCAGGTATACAACACGATCAACACCTTCGAGACACAAGATTCTTTCTACCCACTTTTGTTAGAAACTGAATCAACAAGAAAACGCGAACTCATCGCTGAGTAAGTCATTACTTTTTTAAAAAATATTTAAAAAGTTATATGGCCTCTAAATTTTTCAGAAACCCTATTCAAGAACATCAGTATATATATAGTTTGACAAATTCTGATCGTGTTGTTTGATAAATGGAAATGATTGTTTAATTTTCAATAAATTGTAGGAGCAAAGATGATTTAGTCTCCTCTAATCATAAGACCGACAAAGGAAAAGATGTTTTCTTCGACATCTCAGAAATGACAATATTGGACAAAGCGATTGAAGAGAGAGCAAAAGGTGTAATCGCAGTGGGTGGATTTAGCAACTATAATGAGTCTGAAAAGTTACAGTTTCCTATCGCTTCTATATTTCTGGACGACAAAATGGGAATTGGCCTATGGGACTACTATGAAGATAAAAGGTAAAGACATTCATTACGAGGACATCAATTTCTCCAAAAAGTTAACCATGATTTTTGTTTTGTATTGATTCTTCATTATGACAGAAATCATTCAGTCAAAATCCATAAGACAGTGGAAATTCCTCGAGAAGAGGGATGGGATCCAACTATTGCGGACTTGTCTTCGAGGGGTCCTAATTGCGATAATTTTCTAGCAAACATTCTCAAGGTAATGTTACGTGTATCATACGTCAATTATATCACTTACAAAATAATCAACTTTTTAGGTTTGATTCTTATAATGAGTTTTGTTGGCAGCCCGATATAGCTGCTCCAGGGTTAGACATTGTAGCGGGTTGGCCTGAGAATGTGAATCTCTTACAAGTTCCTGCCAATGACTACCGCCATCTGAGATTCAACATCTTGTCAGGAACTTCCATGGCTTGCCCTCATGCCACTGGACTTGCCTTGTATGTCAAGTCATTCAAACCTTCTTGGTCTCCTTCCGCTATTAAATCCGCCCTAATGACCACTTGTAAGTCCCAACGCCGATGATACTTGTCTATATATCAACCAACGGTGATGTAACGTTTGATTAACACAATTATAATTCACTACGCAGCCACGGAAATGTTAGGTCTAGGCAATGACTTCGCATACGGGTCAGGACAGTTAAACGCTACAAAAGTCTTAGACCCTGGTCTGATCTACGAGACAAAGCACCAAGACTACATAGATTACATATGCAAACAAGGCTACAACACAGAGAAGCTAAGATCGCACGTCGGAAACCACAAGATAAATTGCTCCGGGACCAAGATAGACCAAAACGCAGACCTCAACTATCCAACCATGTCGGCTAGAGTCAAACTCAACGCCGAATTCTCCAAAGTCTTCTATAGAACGGTCACCAACGTTGGCGACCGAAACTCCACTTACCTTGGAGAAATCAAGTTCCGAGGTGAGAAGAGTTTATGGGCTAATATCACTGTGAACCCTAAACGGCTACACTTTAGCGAGTTGGGAGAGACCAAGACTTTCACGGTGAACGTCACCGGGAAAGCGGAGCCGAATTCGAAGTACTCGAAGGATTCGTTTATGATAGGGAATACGTGGCTCACGTGGACGGAGATGAACGGTTCTCGACAAGTCAGGAGTCCCATTGTCATATACTCTATTATTATTGATAAGGAATCTCGAGCTTGTCGTAAATTCCACAAGAAATAATTTAAACTGCCACTCTTTGCTTCAATAGTCTATCTAGTTGTAATAAGACTGGACTTTTAAATCTGAGTACAAGATTACATATTTACACTCCTACACTAAACTCGTGCTTGCATCTTATGGTGACTATGGGGGTTTAATTGTTTATTCGTTCATAAGTTAAATGTGATTTTAAATGTGATATTTTTTAATAACTAGTCAATAAATAAACGCTCAAAAAAGTTACATAACTCCACTCTTTAATTTAGCCTAACGTTTTCATTTGTTCACCACTATTTATGCCCATTTTGACAACTTAGTTTAATATATCTAATTCACAAACCTTTAATATCTTATTACTTTTCTTAGTCTTTTTTTTGAAAATGTTTTCCCGAGTATTGTTGTTTGTCTTCGCAGTTTCCATTGCCGTTGTATGTTCGAGCAGAACGTTGGCACCGTCTCCGAGCGATTCGAAGCTTAGGGTACCTCTTATTTAAATCTTGATCATTTCTATATATTTTGTTGCGACAATAATCCTCAAAGCATCTATTCTTCTTACCGAATATGATAAACAGGTTTATGTAGTCGTTGTTGATCGTGCGTTGTATCACAATGACTGTAAGAAATACGAACAACTTCTCAGAAAGGTGCTTCATGGAAGGTAATCTATTGATTTTTTTGGAATAGAGTAATTAAGACAGAAAAATAAAAAGAATTCATTTGAAGATGTATTAGCAAAAACTTGCCCCTCAAAATAAATAAATAATTATGATGGAAAATAAGGCTTGAGGAATGCAAGATGGTATAGTAGTGAAAAGAATCACCAATAGTTACAAAGACCCAATCAAGAATTATGTTTTATACTCTTTTCTTTCCTTTTTTCCATCAGGCCATCAGATCTAGCTCCACTACATTGCTACAAAAACGTCATGAGCGGATTTGCAGCAGCACTCACCGCAGAAGAAGCTGAAGAACTAAAAGGTACATTTAAAAAAATTAAACAATATATTTATTCAATAAAGAAAAAGAATCGTTTACTTAAAAAGAAAAATCACGTTAAACCAATTTTTGTAGTCAATTGGTTGAACACTAGAAATCTCTGATTATAAGAAGAAAAATAAAAAACAAGATTAAACTTCAAAAGACAAAAAGGTTTTCTGATATGAAAGAAGTGTGTCGGATGGGGAAAAAAAATTATTAAAAATATATTGTTGGAGAGTTAATTACCAAATATGCTGTCGTCTGTTGATTTAACCATATGTAAAAGGTGAAGTACGAAAATAATATTTGTAAGCTAACTTTTTTTTTTTTAACTTTTGCAGGTGAAAATGGAGTTCTTAGTGTAATAGTAGACAACATATACGATATCCAGGATTAAGATAACTTAGTCACCTGCATTAATGACTATATTGTAAGGTTATTTTTGGTAAAATTCTATTGTAAGGTTCATTTCAAAAGTTGGAAGAACCAAAAAATATATATATAGAATTGAAATGCAGTAATCAAATATTATACTCTGTCCTCCACAACAATATACGAATATTTTGGCATTCGCAGTCTTTAAAGAAATTTCACAATGGGACACGAGTTGTTGATAGTATTCCAGGTTCGAACCCACTTAGACTCGTCCAACATCTATAAAATTCATAAACTCAATCAAATAAAAAAAATTGATGTAATTATCGATGGTAAAAGTTGACAAAAAAACAAAAAAAATTATTAATGGTAAAATAATGAAAGGAAAGTACACATGCAACCAAGAGAAATTCACAATTTTGTATCATACCAACAAACTATAAGATCGAGGCTGGAGAATAAATTATTTTAACATATAAATCAACAAAAACATTCAAAATAAAAAAGAAAGCTTTATAACTTGTGAGAAAATAAAAAGAAAGTTAAAATAAATTATTTTTCAACAAGCCAAAAATAAATCACGCATTTTAGCTTGGAGAGAAATCAAGTTCCTAGATGAGAAGAGTTCTTGGGCTAATATCACTGTGAACCCAAAAAGGCTACATTTGAAAGTGAAGAGACCAAGACTTTCACCGTGAACGTCACCGGCAAAGTGAGCCGAATTTGAAATACATGAAGGAGCTGTAGGGAATATGTGGCTCACATGGACGGAGATCAACGGTTCTTGCCAAGTCAGAAACCCCAATGTCATATACTTCATTAATATTGATAAGGAATCTCGAAATTGTCGTAAATTCCACAAGAATTAATTTAAACTGCCATTCATTGCTTCGATAGTCTTTATTTTTTTTCTTTTTTTGACAAATTGATTCGATAGTCTATCAAGTTATAATAAGACTGCACTTTTGAATTTTGAGTAATGATAAATATTAGCATGGTTGGAAGCTTGGAGTTCATGGTTTTTGAATTACCGTAACCAAATTAAAACCTAATCTAGTATGCATCATATACATGCATGTACCATTTGTTTACAAAGAAAGACACATTCAAATCGGTTATTCCTCTTTTGTTTGGTTCGGTTATTTATCGATTTATTTTTTCAACTAGAAACAAAAAAATATCAAGTTTTAGATCAGTTATATTTTGGTAATTGGTTTATCTGAGTGCAAGATTACACATTTACACTCCTAGACTAGACTCGTGCTTGCATCTTATGGTGATTATATGGGGTTTTAATTGTTATTTATTCATAAATTAAATGTGATTAAAAGCTGAAAGACAACAGCTCATAAGGGAGTCTAGTAAATAGTCAATATATAAACGCTCAAAAAAAGTTATAGAACTTACATAACTTCACTCTTTAATCTAGCCAAACGTTTTCGTTGTTCACCACTATTTATGCCCATTTTGACATCTTAGTTTAATCAATCCAATTCACAAACCTTTAATCTCTTAATACTTTTCTTAGCCTTTTTGTTGAAAATGTTTTCCCGGATATTGTTGTTTGTCTTTGCATTTTGCATTACTGTCGTATGTTCGAGCAGAACGTTGCCGCCGTCTCTGGACGGTTCGGAGATTAAGGTACCTCTTATTTAAATTTTGATCATTTCTATAGTTTTGTTGCGACAGTAATTCTCAAACCATTTATTCTTCTTACCGGATATGATAAACAGGTTTATTTGGTCGTTGTTGATCGTGGGTTGTATCACGATGACTGTAAGAAATACGAACAACTTCTCAGAAAGGTGCTTCATGGAAGGTAATCTATTGGTTTTTTTGGAATAGATAACTAAGAGGGGAAAAAAGAATTCAGTTGAAGATGTATTAGCAAAAACATACCCTTCCAGATAAATAAAATGGTATGATGGAAAATAAGGGTTGAGGAATCCAAGATGGTATAGTAGGGAAGATTGAGAGATGGTGTAAAAGAATCAAGAATAGTTATAAAAACCAATTCAAGAATTATGTTTTATGTTCTTCTTCCTTTTTTTCAACAGGCCATCGAATGAAGCTCCAATATTTTGCTACAAATACGTCATGAGCGGATTTGCAGCGGGACTCACCAAAGAAGAGGCTGAGGAACTAAAAGGTACATTTTTATATTTATTCAATAGAGAAAAAATAGTTGTTTTGTTACATGAAAGTGGTTGAGCACTACCAATTTCTGATTACTAGAAGAACATTAAAAATAAACATTTAACTTCAAAAGAAAAAAAAAAATACATTTTCTGATATGAAAGAGAAATGTGTCCGTTGAAAAAAATATATAATATTAATTGATAAAAAAAGATATTGCTGGGGAATTAATTACCAAATATGTTGTCGACTTAACCATATGTAAAAAGTGAACTACGAAAATAATATTTGTAAGCTAAATTGTTTTTTGTTTCTAAACATATGCAGGTGAAAACGGGGTTCTTAGTGTAATTTTAGACAGTAAACACGATATCCAGGGTTAATTAAGATAACTTGTAACCTGCACGAATGACTATTGTAAGGTTATTTTTGGGTAAATTGCTATTGTAAGGTTTGTTTCAAAAGTTGGAAGAACTAAAAAAAATGAATAATGTATACACAACTGAAATTCAGTGATCAAATATTATACTCTCTCAGTCTCTCCTCCACAACAATATACGATCTCTTAAAATCTCAAAACCTGGCCTGTTTGACCAAACAACAAGAAAAACAAACTCAAACCCTAGCTTTGATCGAGCCCAAATCCAATCCCAAGCCTTACTTCGAAGAACTTTGAATTATTCAAAAAGTCAGTGATAGTCCAGCCCAGCGCAAAGTAAAGGTTTTAGTTAAAGCTTAGTTCTAACTTCTAAGTCTAACCCGGAATTAACAGGACGTGAATAATTTTAAATTTGGTGAATACACAACTTCGATCGAACAACTCTGAACAATTATTTTATACTATTCATTATTCTATTAAAAATAATGATGGGTAACTACATCACCGATAACATATATACCTGCGAATCCTTAAATTTTTGGATATTTAATCCATCCCAACCCTAGTATAATAATAAACCATATCTTCTTCTTTTTTGTCTTAATGTTAAGAGTATAAACCATATCTTAAGTACATTAATAAACTCCAATTTCTAAATGCAATGTTTTCTCAAATGTTTGAATTCGAACTGATCCACTGGGTACGTACGTATAGGATTCTTTTTCATTTTTACAGATAAGAAAAGGAGCAAGTGCTTCTTGTTCAGCTTTAGGGAAACACAAGGAACACTAGGCTTTTATCATCTCTTTTTTGTTTTATACTGTTTAGGTATTGTTATCTGTGAGTTTTGTGTTGTCTTACTTCTATATATCCCAATATACACATTCATTGGTTTCGTTCAAGTATCTTATCTTTATGATTTAGTAAATTTCTATCGTAGTCTTTATACAAATTTCACAATAGGAAGAAAAATCAAGTTTGTAATGGAACTTAAATCCTTAAAAACAAGATAAGAAAATATAAAGAAAGTTAAAATAAATTAGTTTTCAACAAGCCAAAAATAAATCATGCAAAAGCATCAATATATACATAGAGTTCGAATGGCCATTACTACGAAGAATCATAAATCCTGAAGAGATTTATGTTGAATGGATCTAAACATCTAAGCCATATGAAAAAATCTGCAATGTCAACTAAGCATAAGAGATCCAAACGGTATATTGGTCCAAAAATGGGGAGCAGAGAGCATTTTTAGCTAAGAGGTTCTATAACCCTCAAGCTATGGCTCTCCTTAACTCATAAAGGATCCAATCCACTTTTAAAAGGCTGCCTATTTCTCATCTCTATCTCTATCTGCAAGTCTTTTTGACATTCTTGATGTCAATGGTGTCCATTAATCGAGAAATTTACACATGTATGGTGATGATGATAGTTAACATGGCATGAGTCCCTCAATTCCCATGAAGGACACGTATCAACACACTTTTTTCCCATTCAATCTTTTCCTTTACATGTTTATTTTTTGCAGTCGAATTATTCTTTGCTTGAAGAGCCTATACCATTAGTTTTCTCTTTTGCATAATTTGCATTGTACAGATAATTCTAAGTGTTTGTCAGATACAGTTACAACAGGTCATGTGGTGTATCTTTACAGAATGTTTTAAAGCGCATGGTCAAACAAATAACCGATCAAACGAATCTTAGGACATATACCCATCACACGTATTGACATTATATTCTATCGGTTAATTAAGCTCCGTTTATAGATTCACAACGTTGTTTATTCTTTGTATCTCTGCCTAATTGTTAATCTTTTCTCCCAACGAAATGCTATGACTTTTGTAACTTTCGAAAATTAGAGTTAACATTAGGATTCATCATTACTGAATTGATCTAGTAAATTCAGAATCTTCATTGTCATTTTTATTATCAGTTTTGAATTGGGATGGTGACACATATCGACGACGCTAAAACAAAACACTACACGTACATGTTCGTATATCAACTAGTGTTGTTTCTCAATCAAAGGTTTGGGTGGTTCAGGCCTAAACATATTTGTGTCTTTTGTTTATAAGACGTAACTATCATGTATAAGCATATTGGATTTTTGCAACAAAGCTTTATAGCAATTTGTTCTTGAAAACGATATCGTATATGCTGACTAAAGGATGTTTTCTTGTTCTAATTTTTTTTTTTTTTTGAAAAGTACATTTAAAAAAATATATAAATCAAACTTAAAACAGAAAATTATAACCACGACCGAAATGTAACTTAAATTTCTGTTTCTACTTGTGTTTGCAGTTACCAAAAACTAATTGATATAAACACATACTAAAGTTTGTTTCTTAAGGTTTATCACAATATTTAACTTGCAAACGTAGAACCATGGCAAAAGCAAATTCAAGGAACAAAAGATGTATCATCATACTTTGACCAATAGTCTTGGTCTGATTAGCACAACGCATCCAAGAAATATATATAATACAAATTACTAAATTAGAGTTCAA